GAAACTGGTATATTTGAATACTAGAGGGTTACAGCTACAATATATATAAATTCCAGACTGGGGTCAAGTGGGGGCATATAACTTCTAGTCTTCCAAACATAAAATTTTGAGAAAAATATAAAGGTCAACATTTCGCCATACTTTTTAAAACTATTTGCATTATTACACACCTTATTGTACAGAAAATAAAAAGTACTTATCCTTATCTTCAAAATCCATCACACAAATATTTGGTCACCATAGTAAAAAATAATGTCAGGTGTTGTCGAAAGTCAAGCAAAATTAGGAATTAAAAATTACACTATCCTCATATCCTCACTTACCATGTTAATTACTCACGACTAGCTAATTAACAAAGTACAAAATTGTGGAATCCTTAATGTCTGGGATGTTGTTTATCGTTTTTTATAAACGATAATCAGAAATTCAACAATGACTTTTGTCCAGCTAGCTTGTTCTACACGAATCACAGTGCGACGGCGGGATCACGAGTCGGCCAATTTCGGATTCGCCTTCACTGATCGGCTACCGTCGCTTCAAATTCATATACCGGGTCGAGTTAACTGCACACCTGCCAGCCGTGACGTCACATCGACTTTCTGGTATCGACGGGGCGACCGCGGGGAGGTGTGCGGGAAGTAGAAGGGAGAATCATTCATCAATCAATTAATTCCACCAGCCTAGCCCCCTTCCATCATCGGGAAACCAGACGCGTGCCATCCTTATATTGTTGACATTCCACCAGCTCGCTTTAAGCGTTTCGATTACTTTTTTATAATGCGAACAGCTAGGGACTGGAATTCGTTGCCTGCTGCTGTCTTTCCCGAAGACTATAATCCGGGCCTTTTCAAGGCGAGAGTGAATAGGCACTTACAGGGCAGATATTATGTACCATCCTAGACTGCATCCCACTTAACATCAGGTTGCATTGTGGTCAAATACCTGCCTTGTTATGCATAAAAAAAGAAGCGCATTCTAGCGAGGTTCGCAGTTAGCTTGGTCGGGTTGTACGGAACCCTTCCGTTGATATAACATCATGGGTATTTACCTTTCGCCTCGGGAGCCTATCTAAAGTTATCTTCCAGTGATAAGAATCGCTCCTTGATTTTTGCCTCTTTGATGGGTTACGCTCACTGTCAATACGTTTTCTTTATACCCACGCCTGTGTTTGATGTTTTTAAATCCTTCTGAATGGAATAAAGTAGACAGATTTAAATGTAAAGGTCAGAATCCCAGATATCGAATATTATCCTTTTTTTGTATGGCTTTTATAAGGCGATTCTATCGGTATTTTTATTTACTATAGAATTTTGTTTACACCTACCATTTTCCATCTCAATAGAGAAGAAATATTTTATTTTTGTATGTTTGTAACAAATAAACTCTAAAATTACTGGACCGATTTCAGGTACATAATCCTTTAGTTACATGAGTTTTGTCACTAAGGGTTACTTTAGAATCAAATTCGCGTTACCGTACATAACAAGCGAACAATTTGCGTTATGTAAGATTCGGCTAGTACATAATTATTTGCGCCATTTGAAATTCAAACCCATATTTTCGTAATAAACCTAAGCCAAATGGGCTTCAATATTAATTACTGAATAGAGGAACGAACTAATTAATCTAAAACCAACTTACACCTCAAAAAGCAGCTCTGGATTTCTGAATTTTAAATGGGAATGGACTGGAAGTCATCTAGAATTTAAATGGTGCGCACTGGTTTTGGCGCACTCGGCACTTTTGGTGCCATCTTCATATTTAGACCGAGCAGGTTTAACCATTGATATTCGAGTTACTGGAAGGAGCAATAGCCTAAAGTACCAATAGATTGTATCATCCACGAAAACGCGCCCCACCATTCTCCCGCTAATGTTTGAGTGTTATCGGTACACGCTAAATCATCCATGAGTGCAAACGCACACTACAATAATGACGCTCGAATTGGTTGGATCAATCTCTCCGAACCTCGCGCTTCCCTCGACTAAAAATTAGTGGGGCGCGTATTCGTGGATGAAACGAACTACAGTTTTATCTTCTCTTTTTTTGGGCCTAAATTTAGCATAGTAATTTTACGGGTGTATGTAAGTACTGCCACATGCACTAAGTAAGTACTTAATGATAAAAAACGTGCATGTGGCATGTCGCCAAAGTTGGGAAAGGTTTGCCAAAACCCAATTTTAATTTTCAATTGTCTCTATAAACGGTTTCATTTAATTGTTGAGTTTATAAATGAATGCCGGTTGATTTCCAGCTTTGAGAAAATCTTGAAAGTATAAACACTTTTTACATTTTAGGCACAAACGAAGTACGTAGGTGTGATAACAGAAAAATAAAGATAATTATTTTATTTCACTTTTTTTATAAATCATGATAATCCACAATGTAGTCATCATGCCATTGCCATCAAATAAGGCACTGGTTTTAATATTTTGTGGCATTTCTAGGGGTCTTAATAAACTGCAGCTCTTACTCAAGATTCATACCAACTAATCTACAACGGAGCTCATCGGCAGATGTCCTTTATCCAGATTCCGCACTCAGCTGGGTTTTAACGAGGATTTCGGAGCCAAAGTGAAAAGTTTTGGGGGAACTCAAGTATGTTGGGAACATTGAAGTATTTCGTGTGTCGTCTAGTTCTTAGTACAGACATTTCATACTATAGCACATAAAGCGGTAAGGTAAAGTTCGATTTTGCAAAAAAAAATAATGTAGTTTTTCATTTAACATTGATTGTACAGCCTTCAAGTGGAATTTGTGGAGAGACCTTAATTTTGTTTAAAAACAATATTTTTGGCACTTTCCTTAGTAAGATGAGATGGGCCACCCAATGATACCACTTGGTATTTGGGATTGGGATTTATTTCTTACATGAATTGGTAGTTATTTCTTTTTTTAATTAATAAGGCAGAAGTTCTCTTTAACTCAAAATAGACAAACATAGGTCTTAAGGCGATATTTTTAGATGAGTTACATACGTAAGTACTCACATTTTGTCTGTGGGTACTTCTTAGCAGTACTTTTTTTCTTTTTTTTTTCTATTTATATTTGGCACACAGTCATTACAAAATATACACCTCTAAACAAAAATTAAACTGAGAAAAACTTTCTGAGGTGAACCCATAATATGAGTCCTAAATTCCAATTCCAAAACCTTATTTCGCAGCAGCCGAATATTTCTTCCCAGCAAGTGCCAAATAAGGGCCCTTTATACCTTTTGTACGCTTTGTGCGGTTCAGGTGGACATTTGTGGAACTCCAATCGTACTTCGACAGGCCATTTATTACCAATGAGTCAATTTAAAGTAAAAGATACAAGAATGGACTGACAGAGGAGGATGGGAAATTTAACTTTGGTAATTGAAAGACAATTTAAGTAAACATAACGAACAAAGCAACAAAAAAAATCAATTAAAATTACTCAATTCTCTATNTGACGAAAGACAAAACCCAACATTTATATGAATATGCGAACATCTGGCTAACGTGGGGACTGTAGACAAAAATATCAGGCCTCTTTAAACTAATCTGGCCAGAGAGGGGAATCCCTAAAAATATGTGAACGTTAGGCCCAGAACACACGGTGAAACGCAATTGCGACGAAACTGCAACTTCTAGTTACTTTTGAGTTGCATCTAAGTGTCTGCCATAGATTCCGTTGAGATACCACACATGACGCGACCAGTTTGAAACCGGTTTGAAATGGTCGCGTCATGTGTGGTCTCTCATTGTCATGTGTGGTTAAAGTAACTAGAAGTTGCAGTTTCGTTGCAATTGCGTTTCACCGTGTGTTCTGGGCCTTAGGCCTCTACAATCTTTCTCGCCAGCATGAGAAGTCATATAGGAAGGTCAGACCTCTCTAATGCACTTGACCAAGGTGGGGAGAGTAGACCAAATTCAATTTGCCTCTGGTAAATGAGAGAATTGTGGTCCTGCAGTAAAAACTATAATATGTTGTAATGACCTGATGATGTCTTAGGGATTTGCAAAGTGGCACCTATTAGGTACAATAAATACATGGTACCTGTGAAGCTCGTTGAACAGTAGCCGTCACGAGCTCTGCTTGATTTCAGGCTACGTTATGTGAAAGAATTTTGTTAAGATTTTCTTTCTTCTTACATCGCAGAGTTCATTCAGCAAATTTAAACTTGGCACTTGACATGAAAGTTAAGCTGTTTCAGCATTACTTAAAACTTCTGTAAACTCCTGGTTTCATGCATTAGTCGGTTAAAGCATTTGGGCTTAGGTTGGTTCGGGGAAAACCGTAATATTTCGGCAGGTGGTCGAGATAATTTCGTAATAATATATCATATTTGTGGTTTAATATTCAGAATGGTAAATATTATTCTCGTAAGGCTCAACCAATGCCCTAACCGTGATATTACTAGTGGTTGATTAAAAATGATTTACGCACGTGTAATCATCGTTTTTAATAAGGTTTATTCCTTTGCAGATGTATTAGAGATATATATGGATTACTAGCTTTCCGCCCGCGGCTTCGCCCGCGTGGAAATTTGTCTGTAACAGAAAAACTCAATCGCGTGCGTCCCTGTTTCAAAAACCGGGATAAAAACTATCCTATGTCCTTTCCCGGGACTCAAACTATCTCTATGCCAAATTTCATCAAAATCGGTTCAGTGGTTTAGGCGTGAAACCAAGACAGACAGAGTTACTTTCGCATTTATAATATTAGTATAGGTAGATCCATCCATCTCTAAGATGGTTCTAGAGAAAATATGTAATTTATTTACGATTTTAAAGATGAAAAGATATCAATATCTGAGTTAATTTTAATCATCAAGTTTCTGCGAAAATTTTGTTTTAATTAATGTGAAAACTAATTAATTATTTACTTAAAAGGACACACTCTAGCCGCCTTTAAGGGCTCTTTGCCTTTTAGGTTCTATCAGACGAAGATATTATTAAGTGTTTGGGAGAAGTAAATGATACGAAGTACTCTTTTAAAACATGACATTTATGTACTTGTTAAACAANGCGGCGAATAGACCGAAGCGACGGGCGGCGCGGCGCGTGCGGCGGTCGATGCTCCGCCTCCCGCGCCCCGCTCCCGCTGGATGACAGCGCGCCGTGTGCGCGCACATACTGCCCCCCCTTGAAAGCTAGCTTTCAAGATTTTCAGGAGAGGCATCATGAAGCAGACAGATGCGGTTGAGTGCGCGCCTGACGACTCCTCTTGAGGTGGCGATGTCAGCAACGCGAGGCACTCCATCTGAGCCTGGATGTAGCGTTGTGACTCGTCCCAGGCGCCACAATAGTGGGGGAAGGTTGTCCTCCTTCAGTATTACGAGGTCTCCCTGCTGTAGGTCCTTGCAACGTACTCTCCACTTTGAACGTTGCTGTAGTTCGGTGATGTACTCAGTTTGCCAACGCTGCCAAAAGTGCTGTCTGACTTGCTCAATTCGTCGGAATCGGTCCAGCCTTGTCGTGCTGACGTCTCGCAGGTCCGGAGCCGGAAGCGACATCAGTGGCCTGCCAAGGAGAAAGTGCCCTGGTGTGAGCGCTGCGTAGTCATTGGGAGATGAGGAGAGAGGGGAAATGGGACGACTATTGAGGATGGCCTCGATTTGACAAAATAATGACGATAACTCTTCAAATGTCATATGTGTGTTCCCTAATATGCGCTTTATATGAAATTTTGCGGATTTAATGCCACTCTCTACATAGCCGTTAAAATTAGGAGCGTAAGCCGGTGAAAATTTAAATTGAATATCATGATCAGATGCAAATTCTTGTAAAGAGACTGCATGGTGCTTAAAAAAGTCATTAATTTCCTTGGCAGCTGCGACAAAGTTCCTGCCATTGTCACAATAAATCTCTCTAGGCTTACCCCTACGTGAAATGAAGCGGCGTAGAGACAATATAAAAGATTCTTTAGATAGTTCACTAACAGCTTCTAAGTGTACACATTTAAATCTGAGACAAATAAAAAGACACAAATAGCATTTTGTAATTTTACACCCACGTCCCCGCCGATCAGTTATGAGGAAAGGCCCAGCAAAATCAACAGATACAGAAGAAAATGGGAAATCAGTGGTTACCCGTGGGGAGGGTAAGTTGCCCATAATGTTAGTCATCGTCTTACCATAGTGACGAGTGCAAGTGACACATCTGCGAGCCGTGCGTCGCGCCAGGTCCCTACCACCAATGGGCCAAAACTGCTCGCGAACCGATGCCAACATAAGCTGTGGTCCCGCATGTAAGAGACGTAAGTGTTCATGTGTGAAGATTAATTTTGTAAGTGGATGTTTTGCGCACAAAAGTATAGGATGTCGTTTAGAGAAATCGTATGTAGATTTACCTAGCCTGCCCCCTACTCTCAGGATTCCCTGAGAGTCAATAAATGGTGCAAGTGAAGTCATATGTGATTTAGGACTTAATTTCTTATCATGATGCAATATATCTAACTCTTTAGCAAATGACTGCTGCTGTGAAAGTTTTACTAAAATGGTTAATGAATTTTCTAGCTCATTTACACTCAATGGTCCTGTTATGTTTTGCCTTTTACATCTAACGTTAATGAAACGATTTACATACGCAACAATACGTTTCAGTTTATTGAAGTTTGAGTATTTTTCAAAATCTATAATTGAATCAGATGAAGTGACGGAGTCTAATGTGTGAAGTGATGAGATCTGCTTGAGTTCAGGCAAGTTCTTTATTTTTATGTCTTTGTTAAGAGTGGGCCAGCTCTCCTCTGGCTGCAACAAAAATGTGGGCCCGTGCCACCATAATTTTTCCGATTGAACGTGTTGCGGGTCTGTGCCTCGTGATGCGAGATCAGCTGGGTTCTGAGCTGTGGGGACATAACGCCATGAAGAGCTGTCAGTAAGCTCTTGAATAATTGCAACTCGATTTGCGACGTAAGTTTTTAGTTTGGATGGACAAGTGTTTATCCACGCTAGGGCTACACTTGAATCACTCCAATAAATACAGCGAGCTATGGGCTTTCGAAAGGCTGAGTTTACCGTTGCAGCGAGGCGCGTTCCCAGCATCGCTGCTGACAGCTCCAAGCGGGGTATGGTGGTGGACTTCGTGGGGGCGACACGTGACTTGGCACAAAGGAGATTTATGGTTTGTTTACCAAATAAAGAGATGGACTTGATGTAGATACAGGCGCCGTAAGCTGCTTGAGAAGCATCACTGAAACTGTGAAGTTCAATGTATGAAGTTTTATCATGAAAAATATTCCTAGGCACTATGAGATGTTTCAAACATTTTAAATTATCTATGAAGTGTGCCCAAGCACGTTGAATGTCAATGGGAACGGGCTCGTCCCAATCTAATTTATGTGCCCAAAGCTTTTGCAACAAGATTTTGGGCTTTACTGTACACAGAGTTAAAAGACCTAACGGATCGAAAATTTTAAAAGTTGCGGATAGAATTGAGCGTTTAGTTACAATGTCCGAGGCGCTATTATCATCTATATCAAAATGAAGTGTGTCTTGACTTGGATTCCATACTAAACCCAATGTATGAAGTGATTGACTCAAAGTTAAGTTACTATTGTCTATGTTCTGCGTTTCAGTTTCAATTATTGCTTGTGAATTGGATCTGTACTTTCTAAGATTGAAGCCACCTGCCATTAGGGATTTTGATACGGAGTTTTTTATAATTAGTAAATCACTCTCTGTATCAGTCCCAGTGAGTAAGTCGTCACAGTAAAAATCATTTTGAATTATGGTTTTGATGTTGTTGTCGGCCGTCTCCTCGCCAAGTTGCCACAAACATCTGGCTGCAAGGAAGCTGGCACTGGAGAATCCATATGTTACTGTGTTTAATCTGAGAGTTTTAATAGGCAGGGACTCGTTTTCCCGCCAGAGAATTAACTGTAGATCACGATCTAATTCATTCATTACAACTTGCCTATATTGTTTTTCTATATCACCTGACAAGACAAATTGATAATGACGAAAGCGCAGTAAGATGTTGAACAAAGAGTCCTGAATGTTTGGGCCTACCATTTGTAGGTCGTTTATTGAAAAGCCGGAAGATGTGCGAGCCGATGCATCAAAGACAACACGCAATTTTGTCGACTCGCTGCTATCTTTAAACACGGCATGGTGTGGTAAAAAGTAGGAGACGTGAGGCTTCTCGACTATAGCCTCAGAAAGATGACCTAATTCGAGATATTCTTGTATGAAGGCAGAATACATTTGTTTCAAATTATGATTCTGATTAAGACGTTTTTCTAGACTAAGAAATCGCTTCTTTGCTGGGAAGTATGAATCGCCAAGGCAATCCGGAGTGTCTATAAGTGGCAACCTAACACAGAACCTACCATTATTTAATCGGAATGTGTTATCAGTGAAATGCCTTTCACTATCTGATAAAAAAGGTTTTGCTTTAATGTGAGTTGGAAAGTCTTCATACTCCCAGAACTTAGTTAGTTGCGATTCTAATTCATTTTCATTAATAACAAAATTACAAGAAGTAATTTCAGTGGGTTTTGATCTCTGGTTACAGATGGGGCCTGCTATCAACCAGCCCAACTGTGAATTATGTAAGAAGGGTAAGTTATCCCCTAGAGGGCGCTGTTCTGAACCTATGAGTTCCCAAAAGACATCAGCCCCCAAAAGGACATCTATAGACGATGGCTTGTAAAAGGAAGGATCTGCTAATTCAATATATGATGGTACATTAAGATGATCAATTAAGATGCGTTTTTTAGGAAGTTTTTCAGTTATATGAGGAAGTACTAAGAAGTCAAGATTGCGAACGAATGTACCCTGCCTAGATCGTATGACCGCAGAGCAGCGTTCTGGAACGATATTAACGGATGTATCCCCAATGCCAAGTACATTAGTGGTACTAGATGATTGAGAAGTCAGTTGAAGACGTGATTTTAATCTATTTGTTATAAAAGAAGACTGACTTCCACTATCCAAAAGTGCGCGAACTGTTTCTACCTTGTTGCTTTGCGGATTAAAAATTTCAATTAAGGCAGTCGATAATAATATCTCTGAAGATAAAAGAGCTGACATGACGCTAGAAGAAGTGGAGGCTAGTTGCTCACAATTCTCAGTAACTGAGGACTCTTTATTTGACGAAGATTGTATAGAGGTATTTACTAATGGTGTGCCTTTCACATGATTAGTCCCTGAATGCGTGGGGTTTGTTGTGGTGTGTTTGTGTAAAATTGTATTGTGTCGTCTCTTACATACGCGACAACCTCCCAGTCGGCAGTGCGCCGCATCGTGATCAGGACGCAAACAGTTGTAGCAGAGCTTGTGTTTTGCAGTTTGGGCCCATTTCTCATCGGTTGACAGACTGTTGAAAACCTTGCAGTCGAATATGCGATGTTTACCCTGGCACACGACGCACGGCCGCTGACCATCCTTGTTAGCTGAAATTACGAAAGATTTGGTATTACTTTCACACTTAACCTGAGGTTTCGAATTTCTATCTCTCTTGGCTCTAAATAATGTTTCTAAAACATCTGCACGACTCTTTAGAAAGGCCTTGAAATCATTTAATGTAGGCAATGCCTTGAGATTGTTTCGATATTCTTCCCATTTTATACTCGAAATTTGATCTAACTTTGTTGTTACTAGATGAATGATGATCGTGTCCCACTGATCGGTGGGTTGACCGAGCGTTTTTAACGCACGTAAATTTTTGGTGACATGATCACTGAGATATCTCAATGATTTATCAGACTCTCGCTGTAAAGGTTCAATATTAAATAAACTGTTAAGATGGTTAGTAATTAATTGGCGTTCATTGTTATATCGCTCGCACAAGAGTTCCCAAGCTTGAGCATAGTTTTGATCTGACACCTCTAAGTTTGAAATTACGCGCGCGGCCTCACCTTCAAGATAGGAGCAAAGATAATGAAATTTATGAATGGGCTGAATACTCTCATTTTTATGAATAAGAGATTCATAAGTGTCACGAAACTCAAACCACTTAAAATAGGCTCCATCAAATTTATGAATTTGAATCATAGGCAATTTAAAACTCATTGAATTCTTACAATTGTGATTGTGAGTACAAGTTTGAGAACCTTGAGCAGCATCATGAAAACTTTCCTTAGGCTTCGAGGCTTCAATTAAATCTTGAGCTGTGGCAATGACAAGATGAAGACTTTCTTCTATACTGTCCCTCTCAGCAAGTTCATTCACGAGATCGGCACCATTCAGAACTTCTATACGAGATTGCATGATCTCAAACTTGTCTAAAATTCCCATAAATTTATCCAACTTCAGCGTTAACTCATTGACTTGAATTGAAGTTAATTGAAGTTTATCTAATGTTTTCAAACTATTGTGAAATTTGGTGATTTGACCTTAATGGAACTGCGTTTAACCTTAAGTTCTGATAGTTCGTCTAAAGATGAAATAGGTCGCGGAGAAGCGGGCCGCGGAGAAAGTGTCGATTTAGAATCTGGATTCGACATTTTAAATTAAATTACTTGAACTTTGCACAAAATAATAGTCAATGAATTAACAAAATGAAAGATGTAAGAAGTCGGTCAAATGTTGAGGAAGTTAAATTGCAAATAATAAATTGCGAACGGCTTACGCTCCTTATTTTTCCTAATGATGCGGCCAGCTGCAAGCGACGCGCGGCAGCGGGTCCGGTTTGCAGGAACGGCACGCGAGACCGCGGCGTCCCGCAGGCCTGGGCGCGTTCGGTGCACGCAGCGGCCGCGTGGCGCGTGGCGCGTATGCGTTCGGGCCTGGGCACAATCCCAAGGCCACTTTCACTGGAATTGTATGAAGAAAAATGTTTGCAGTGTGAACGTAAGCAAGCGGTGCAATAGATATGAAGAAGATTGATCGTGCAGACTGAAATTATAATTAATTTGATAGGAAAATGTAATGCAAATACTTAATCGAAGGCAAAAATATGTACTGTGAATGACTTAGTTTGAGTGGCAGAAAGAAGTAGGCAAGAATTGAGGGCTTTGAATAAATACGCCTTGAAATTAAGAAGGTAATTAGCGCAATATTTTAGGTAAAATATTTAAGAAGTTGGGGAATATGTCGTAGATGATGCTGTAATGCTGTAAAAAAGATGCAAATTATTAACACAATGATGTAGCTATCTGTAAGAAGGCGCTGCAATGAAAACACGTGGCAGTGTTAACCAGCAAAGAAGTCAGATAGCGGTTACGATGGTACAAAATAGAGGGATGCAATATTAACGATGGTGCAAAATGTACGATGATGCAAAATATTTTAATGTCTTTACGACGCAAAAGACGATGTATGAATAAATTTACGATGGTTCAACAGGTACGAAGAATTTTTCAAAGAAAAAACACTGAAATGAAGAGCTATTGCCTTTACGTTATCAAATCAAGAAGGAAAAAGAAGGAAATGATAAGGTAAGCTCACGGCACTCCCCTTGGAAAGCTGAAGCATGCTGCGCAGTGACCTTTGACCTCGATGTTGGCGGCGTGGCAACCGGTGTCTTCGTCTTGAGCGCCAGATTCTCGTAAAATCTCGATGCAGATGCGATAGATGATGCTTGCCCGATGAATTTCGCTGCGGCGCGGCGTGGCGAGATGAAACTTCTTCAGGCGTGACGTGATGTTCCGAGACCGCGTGGCGTGGACGTGACTCGACCGGTTTTGCGAAAGAAAGATGACACGCGCCCACCCGGGGGCGCCAAAATGTTTGGGAGAAGTAAATGATACGAAGTACTCTTTTAAAACATGACATTTATGTACTTGTTAAACAATGAAATTGTGATTATAAAGAATTAGGTGGACGCGTGCGATCGGGTGCCGGAGCGGCGGCGAATAGGCCGAAGCGACGGGCGGCGCGGCGCGTGCGGCGGTCGATGCTCCGCCTCCCGCGCCCCGCTCCCGCTGGATGACAGCGCGCCGTGTGCGCGCACATTAAGTATTGCTGAGAAAATTAAATCAAAGTCAATTGTCATAGAGGGCATTAATGTTAAGTACCTAGTTAAGCACTCAAAGTTCTAACTGCTGACTGAGCAACTACTGACTACCAGCTACCTATTATTATTCGTATATTCATCTAGTGTGTGTCAGAAGTAAAATACATAACAAATGAGTCTTGTAGCAGAGTTAGACATCTGAAACTTCAAATAATGTAAGTAATTTATGTAAGTTAACATAATGTCTAAACCTGACTGAGGACATAATCTTATGAATATTCTTTAATCACTTTGAGTAGAAAACCTGGGATTACGGATCTTTTTTGAAAAAAATATAGCACATAATAATGATAATGTTAACCCTAATCATTATTTATTAACATAATTTTAATGATTCAAATCACATATTTAACTCAATCTAGATTTTAATTGGTTTGTTTACGTCGAAAAAAACATGAATAAACCTGAAACAATTTACGAGAAAAGCTTTCATACATATCATTTAAGGCAATATACTTTGCATATACGAGTAAGTACAAGTTTTTTATGACTTCCATATTTCTTGCCTAAACGAAACCATTATTTTTACATTCAGCCAATTACGAGTGCAGTAAATTAAAATACCGGAATTTTCCACGAACATAATTCAATTAATGGTGACAGTTAAAATTTAACGTGCGATTGCAGAATTCGCCTTACCAGGGTTGGTTATTATGTTAGCAAGATACACTTTTGAAGAAGAACATCAGACCATTTAGTCCAGAATGGACGGTTACTTACTTTACATACCTTTAAAATAAATTGCTCCTAGCTTGAGATATAGACAGTACTTGAATTAATTTAAACAGATTTTGTCGCAATACGCGGATAGGTAATATTGAAATTTAACCTGTATTTGCCTGATATTTCGACCGGGTTACACCAGCCGTGGTCATTATATTATTAAAATTAATTATAGCGACAGTACATTTCGGTAACTTAAGAGACATTTATTACAATAAATTCTATAAGTATTCTAATCAGAAGACGGTTTCATAACATATTCAGGTATTTAGTTTTTGCTCTAAGCAGGTACTGACCACCAAATCACCATCTATACTTACTTCCTTTGTTCTTTTTATATGTAGGTACTACCTCAATAAAAAGTTCTCCAATTTCCTTTTCACAGCCCTATCTTCTTAACCAGGTAGCTTTCCAATACAAGAATTTGACCCAGTTCAGTACACAAGTAGGTATAAATTAATTAAATTTGCGCAGTGACTATCGTTTTACAATGTTTTCGAGTTTGTTCGAATTCAAGTTTCTTGGAAGCGAACCTGTGAACTACGGTCTTAGGAAATTGGAACACTTACTTTTTGCTCGGAACTTCGGATAATTATAAAGCAGCTTTTAAAGTTAAGTCATCGGTTTTTCCAGAAATTTAAGTAACCAGAAATATTAGCAGACTTTTGGTGTAGTGGTTTGCGTGCCAGTCTACTGTGTCAGAATTCACGGGTTCGATTCCCGAACAGTACAAAGATTTGTGTGGACAAACATATTTGTTTTTATTGGTGTAGGTGTTTTAAAGTACTTTATGTAAGTTTCTAACCGTTGTCTGTTACCCATACTCGTTCGTTTGTTCGTTTCAGCCAAATGACGTCCACTGCTGGACAAAGGCCTCCTCCAAGGTTTTCCACAATGAACGGTCCTGCGCTGCCCGCATCCAAGCTCTTCCCGCGACCTTCACCAGATCGTCGTGTACCTACCGACCTAGTCGGTACCCATACTCGTAGTACAAGCTTATCTTTGTTTGGGACTAGATGTCCAAAGATATTTATTTAAGGATTATTTATTTATAATAATATTCGTATACAGTCGTACACAATATAAAAATCTTTCAAAGGGAACCAAAGTTGTCTAGGTGAGGTTAGTTCCCGATTTTTCTTAGAAAACGTTTTATCCTTGTATGGGGGCAGGTCAACTTTCCGAATTGAGGTCAGAAAACAAAGATAGGGCCTTACATAATGGATTTAGACTCAGTAGAACTTTATGTTATAGTTTGTATATATTTTTTGGATTTTTGTAGTAGAAGTAGGAAATTTTCATAAATGAGTTTTCTGATGATTATGAAGTTTATAATATCTCGACTTTTGCAATATTAAAAACCCATAAGGTTGACCAACTACATCATAAAGGTAGTAGGATGGCCCTGGATGCAGGCCGCTACCAACCGGGCGATGTGGAAATAATTGGGGGAGGCCTATGTTCAGTAGTGGACGTACTGTAGCTGAAATGATGATGATGACGAAACACTACGTAGTTGACTACGATTGTTTTAAGCTATTACAACGAATTTTAGTCTATATTATACTGCAGCTATAATATGTTTTGATACTACACCTTTTTTTGTCGCGGAGGAAATGCTTTACGCACCGTCACCACTGCCGGGGGACAGGGTGGTGTGTGGGACTCCCGGCGCCCTGAAAAGGGTGCTGCTTCGTCCTGAAAATAAGGGGGTATATCCACTAAGAAACGGCGTTCCGTCATCGCCCGAGTGGGGAGTCGCGAGTATCCGGCCGTAGCCTTAGACTTCCGCGACATTTGATACTACACCTGCTGCATACATCTGTATTGTAAACCTACCAGAACGCAGGTCATAAACAAAAAATACAGGTCGTAAAAATGGATGCGAAGTACTTGCCTCTAGCGGATCCAAATTAGGTAGGTAACTTGAAATATTGCTGACTATAACGGCTGGGAAGGTTGAGGCTAGTTTTAGCATAAAATGGGTTTTGTTGGTATATTACATTCTTAACGCAATTTTATTTTATGGCCTTGAGAGCTAAAATCCTAATTTATGTGTTTGTTACTTTAATAGGTTTAATCATGGAACTGATTTCATCTTAGGCAATATTAGAACGAAAGTAGGTAAAATACCTTACATATAAACACCGCTTGCTTTAATTTCTTGTGACCCAAAAATTGAGTGGGAGATAATGCTATTAATATGATACTTATTAAGCTCACCTTTTAACCGACTTCAAAAAAAGGAGGAGGTTCTATGTTCGGTAGTATGTATTTATGAGCTTGGCACTAGGGCTTTTAAATAGTTTTTCTTCCAGTGACTGGGTGCACCTTCAAGATTCTAGAGTAGATGTTTGTTGATAGGTATGGTGTTTAATTTATTAACAAAACCACCGGAAGAAAAATTATTTAAAAATTCGAACCAGTGACTTGGCCCATGGACCAAGCTAAAAGTGGACCAATTCACTGGAGGACTCCTTTTGGGATAGTGTCAATTATGTTTATCTTTCTGATTTACATTAGAACTAACGTTGTCACTTCTACGTAAATTATCCTGTGGTTTTGCCAACCAATACGCTACGACGTTCATTATTGACTCTGCAATCGTCGAAGTTGAATCTTTCCTAACTAGCATACGATCCTACATATTCAACAGTTCTTGCGCATGTGAAATCGCGAGCAAACATAATAAGAACGTTCCGGCACATCCGACTATACATTTCTGTTGCAAAACCAACTTCAAAACCACTGAATAAGATGCCACAGTGTTAAACTTGATTTGCTTCGTACGTTCGAGAACAAAACCAACCTTATTACAACCGATTAAGAGTCACAATGTTAAACTTGTAGTTACGTTTGAGGACTTTCCCAGATATGCCTCGAGCAATGAGTATAGTTCTGAATTTCCTAATGTTATCTGATATTTGACAAGGAATGATAAATTAGGTGTGATAGATGAAAATTATATGAATAATTCTACGAAGGTATTATCGTTCATAAGGTGCGTATAGATTTACTTGTAACAGAACAACGACCGGCTTAATACTCAATACTCAATAGTTTATTGCTATATGTATAACTCGTTTCGTCTCAGCCAAATGACGTCCACTGCTGGACAAAGGCCTCCCCCAAGGTTTTCCATAATGAACGGTCCTGCGCTGCCCGCATCCAGGCTCTTCCCGCAACCTTAACTTAAGATATGTATAACTAATTCAATAATATTTATTACCGCTCTATGAAATACTCTAGTATCAGTGTCACCCTTTAACGAACCAAACTTCGTACATTTCACATGTATTTTATCATTTGAAAGAACGCTACATTACATAGAAATGCTCTAGTCTTTACTCACCTTTGGACTTTATTTCTTCTATGTATTTGAAGTAAGCTCGATGTCAGACATAAAGATGTATCATAAAGGCATTTGACATAACTCAATCAAACCAAAATGGTCCCTTGAAGGCACCAGGATTTGTTGAATGGATTCTAAGAATTTTGTTGTACTGTTAGATAGGGCCTAGAAGAAAGATATTATTATATTGAGTTGCTACTCGTCTGCCAACTTGTTTTCCTGCTGATCTACGCTTTCAATATCCTAATCACATTGGGAGTAAGAACCATGCAAAACCCATAATATAGACATAATGAAAACACCTCAGTTATGAGTTAAACTTTTACTATGGCGACTCTATACATGCAGGATAAACGCCCGTATTTACAAACGATGCTTGCTTAAGTGAAGCAGCAAATCGAACGCACAGCGTTGAGTAGAGCTCTGTGATTGGTTCGTGCACCCTGTGCGTCCACGCGCACTGTGCGACCTCATAGTAATGTTTGTGAATACCGGCGACAGATACTCAAACACATATTCAATATTAAGCACTATCATACATGACCTCCAGTAAAGAATTTTCCATTTTAACACGTACACTGCAAGTCTTATCAATAAAGATTAAAATATAAATAAAAATACGCTAGAACTAAGCAAAAAACAGACTAGTTACTCGACCTACGTACTTACGAATTTCATGAATACATAACAAATTC